ATAAAGGCTGGATAGAGAGTTTAGCAGATAAAGACATTTGGCAACAAATCTGGTGACTGGAGTTTGGTCCCTGGGATGCATGCAGCAGCAGGAGATAACTAAATCCCATAGGGTGTTCTCTGACCTCCATGCATACGTTCCCTCTCCCCCACATACATGTATCTACACACATAGAAACAAATAAACATCTGTAAGAATAAGGGGGAAAACAAGAGAAAGGGTTTGAAGCTAGATGTAGTATAACAGGCCTATAATCCCAGTACTTGGGGGTAGAGGCAGAGTTCAAGACCATCCTCAGAGACATAATAAGTTTGAGGCCAGCCTGAACTATGTGAGGCACTGTCCCCTAAACAGAAAGTCATGTCATTTTTATGACTGACTATTATTCCATCATATAGATGAACTGTTTTCCCTTTCCTTTGATTGGCAGATTAATTACTTCCATCTTTTTAGTGATCATTAATAGTGCTACTGTAAGTACAAAATTGGACATGTGTATGTGTTTTCAGTTCTTTGGGGTCTGTACTTAGGAGTGGGCTATCTGAATCACATAATAATTCTGTGCTGAACTCCTGGAGGCCCTGTGGGTCCACCTTTACACTCCCAGCCACAGTGTCAGAGGAGAGAAAACCCTTGCTCTCAGTCTCATCGGATGTCAGCTCTGGGAGCCTTGGGAAATATCTTTTTATTTCATTTTAAAAGTTATACTTATTAATTTATTGGAAGAGTTGTATCATCTGCAGCGTGGAGGTCAGAGGATAGCTTGCAGGAACTGGTTCTGGTCCTTTCATCATGTGTGTCCTAGTTAGGGTCATTGTTGCTATGATGAAACAGTATGGCCAAAGCACATTGGGGAGGAAAGGGCTTATTTGGATTACATTTTGATATGACTGTTCACCACTGAAGAAGTCAGGACAGGAACCTGAAGGCAGGAGTTGATGCACAGGTCATCATACTGGCTTGTTCAGTCTGCTGTTTTTTTTCTTCAGAACATGGGACCACCAGCCTGGGGGTGGTAACACCCACGATCAGCTGGGCCATCCTCGATGCATCACTGTTTTAGAAAACAACTTGTAGGCTTGCCTATAGCCTTATCTCATAGAGGGATTTTCTCAATGGAAGCGTCCTCCTCTCTAATGGCTCAAGGTTTTGTCAAGTTGACATAAAACTAGCCATTGAAATGTGGCTCTAGGGATAGAACTTGCAGCTACCTTTATTCATTGAGCCATCTTTTGGGCCTAAAAAAATACTTTTTAAAGTTTTTTTTTTTGGACATTCTCTTTATATAGTCTGACTATTCTAGAATTCACTATCTGGACCAGACTGACCTTGAATCAGCTTGCCTCTACCTCTCACTTTTTTAAAAGATTAAATAATTTTAATTATGTTTATTTGTGGTGGAGTATGTGTATGCACATGAGTGCAGTGCCCATGCAGGCCAGAAGGGGGAGCTGGAGTGGATGTGGGTTGCTTAGCATGAGGTGAATGGAACGTGGGTCCTCCTTCAGAACAGCAAGTACTCTTAATTGCTGAGTCATCTCTCTAGACCCCAGAAAGACCTTTTTAAAAATTAATGATAGATGCTAGGTATTGTAGCACATGCCTTTAGTTTCATGGAAGGCAGAGGCGGGTGGGTCTCTGGGAGTTTGAGGTCAGTTTGTGTCAACATTAGTAAGACCCTGTGTCAAAAATTATTTTGAAACTAATTCTTTGACTTTCATAGATGAATAATACTACATTTTGAGCAAATTCATTCCTCCATCTCATGCTCATCTCCTTCTCCCCAACAATCCCCCTCCCACTTTGTCTTTTTATGATTTAATAGGGGCTTCTTACATAAGCATGTGTTGGGAGAGCGCTATTTTCTGGAGCACTGACAGACAGATCCTGCTGTGTTCTGCTTCTGTGGCCCACACATTTGTCCTAAACCATAGCCCAAGTCTAGTCATGGCTGCCTCTACCAGGTTGGGGTCTCTCTGCTATCCTGTCCATCTTGTCTCCTCTCTTTTTGCTCATTCCCATTCTGTGAACCTGGAGGTGACCACTGTGACCCTTCTGTGTGGACCTTGTGACTTTCCCATTGGATTCAAGCAATAGGGAGACACAGCAGGCTTTCGGGGGAAGGAGGAAAGTGAGGGGCTCAACCCAGGGATCCTTTGGTGACCTGGTAACCACATAGCTCGACACCTTTCCAGGGTCCCGTGATGAACTGTTCATGTGACGTTACTGGTCACTACCCTTCCTTAATCTCCACCTCCAGTCATCTGGAGGACAGTCTCTGCCTGTCCTCATTGTGAACGTGCTATCACCCACACTTGTCTTCACCTACAGCTCTGTCTTCCTCCTTCAGTAAGTGATCTAGCCACCCACCACCATGTTGACTTTCCTTCCAGTGCAGGTGATTCATACTCTCACATGCACCCTGCTGCCTACGTGAACTTCCCTCTGTCCTTGTGGACTGAAGGTGACCCACACAGAGTTTTCCTCAGCACTGCTGACACTACACTTAACGATTCACTAATTCTCTGTTCCTGGGGTGTGCTGTGTGTGAGTGACAGGACATTGAACAGCATCTCTGGTCTCCACTGATGACATGCCAGGGGCATGTCAATTTTACCTCAGTGTCATGACCCAAATGAGACATTGTCTGCTCCAGCAACTGCTTACCTAACGAATCAACCCCTAAACTCAAAGAGCCAATATTTGTGCTAAACCAGACATGGGGCTAAACACCCTGCAAACACCACCTTATCTCACCATCTACTTCATCTGTAGAAGGATGGGTGGCTCAGAGCAGTTGTGTGTTTCCCAAGACCACACAGCCAGGACACCTACTGTCAGTGCCTTTCCACCCCAGACTCTTTGGTTTTTCCCTCTTTCTTGGTATTCATCTCCCTGTCTCTTCCAGTCCCACATCCAGCCTGTGACTGATGTGGCTAAGCATTTTGGGCCTGGTCTCAGCAAACCCCTCCTGCCCTGCCAGACCTCCACTATCCATCTTCCATCCTCAGCCACTAGGAAGATCTTTCCCAAGCTCTCTGCCTTTGGCAATTTGTGAATCTTCTAGTGTCCCCAGTAAGGTCTTCTTTGTTAACATCATCAGCAAAACTCAATCCCCACAGCTAAAATGATAAGCAAGTTTCAATGTGCTTTAAAACTAGCAAACAGTATGAGGTTCTTCCTCTGCTCAGATACCACCTGTGACTCTCCATTGTCAACCGGATCAACCCCTGCCCTCTGCCACTGACTCTCATTGTCCTCCTTGTCAGCTCCAGGACCCTTCCAGCCTTCTCATCTCTCACTAGCCAGGCCAGGAAAAGCTACCTGCCAGGCTATACCTTCTGGTTTCTCTGTGTCTGAGCCCCACCCCCTCTGGCAAGCCTGTTGAAATTCAACCTCTCCCCACAGGCCTAGCTCAAATGTCACATGCTTCAGGCTACCTAGTCTGCCCTCCCTTCTGTGGCTTCCATGCGTGAAAGCTTCAATTATTTCTATCTCCTGTTCTTCTTCTCAAATCCCACCCTTCCAGGGCAGAGTATCTAGTGAGAAAGAGTTACTGAAGACAGAAAATCTTTGAAGTGGAGACCAAGTGGGCCTTCTTAAATTGGTTTTCCCCTCTCTCTGCCCACCGACCCAAGTCAATTGCCTGCCACCCACCGGCCTGCCCGGCCCAGCCATATGGTCTGTCTCACATTCAAGGGTGGGTCTTACTGGATACTTCTGCAGCAGATGAGCTGGCCAAGGACAATATTCCGCTTCAAGGCCAAGTGCCTATGAGTGGGTGGGGTGGGACCTGAATAGTTGAATGCTTCTGGAGACCCTCCCCTCATCTTTTATTTTTTGCATCTATTCATTTATATATATATATATATATATATATATATATATATATATATATATATGATTTATTATGTATGTGTGGGCATCACATGGATGTTTGATGCCCTCCAGGTCCTTGGAACTGGTGTTGGAGATGGTTGAGAGCTGTCATGTAGGTGCTGGGAACTCAACTTGAGTCCTCTGCAAAGAGCACCAAGTGCTCTTTACCTCTGAGTTAACCTCTGGGATGAACTCAAGAAGTCATGCTTGGTGGCCATTGTCTTTAGCTTGATGAGCCATCTGGCTGCCCCTCTTTACCTTTGAAAAATTTTATTATTCTTATTTAAAGATTTGTTTTTATCATTTTTGATTATGTGTGTGTGTGTCCGTCTATGCGAAGGTGCACCCATACATGGGTGCAGAACCTCTGACCCTTTCAATCTCCTGGACCTGGAATTACATACAAGCAGCTGTGAACAAGTGTTTTAAATCTCTGACCCACCTCTCCAATACCCCGTTTCTTCAGGACTCCCTCTCCCCCTCCCTCCCTCCCTCCCTCCCTCCCTCCCTCCACCCCCCTCGCCCTCTCTCTCCAGAGTTTCCTTAAGTAGTCCAGGCTGGGATGGAATTTGTGATTTTCCTGCTTCCAAGTGCTGGGACAATGGATTGCCGAGATTGTGTGGAGGAACAGCTAGCTGTAGAATGTGACTCAGGAGGGTAGGTAGGGCAGGCTCCAGGAAAAACAGGTAGCCCTCCACTCCGGGGCTGATGGAGTCTGAGAACTCTTGGAAGCACCCAAAGAATGCTCTTCTGGAACAGTGAGAGTCTCGGAGGTGATGGTGTAGGAACTCCTGTGCAAGCCTGGGAGACAGTTCTGCCTTGGGGCTCTGAGGGACTGGTATAGGAGACGGGTGACCCAGAGTGGAAGTCAGGCTCTGATAGGAGTCAAGACCAGGGAGTCTGAAGGTTTCGGCTCTTAGCTGTCTGCATTTTCACGTCTCCATCTCTGTCTGTTAAGCTCTCCCTTTCTCTGTCTGTCCCAGCTTCCTGGATCTTGGAGGCCAGGCTTGCAAGCAACTAGGCAGGGGCGTTGCCAGTTTGGGCGTGGCCCCGGAGTTGTGAGGCGGGGCTTAGGGCTCAGCCTGAACAGTGTAAAGGGGCTGGGGCTCAGCCGGGCAGGTTTAAAGGGTTGGGGCTGTCAGACATCACTGTCAAAGCCGCGGATCTGGATCAAGAGCGGCAGGCTGAGACCCGGGTGAGTACGTGGGTCCAGCGACTGTGGCCTGAGCGGGGCGGGGCGGGGCGAACATCCGTGGGCGCAGCCAATTTCAGGATCCCACGACCAGCGATAAGGTTGAATGACCAGGAGAGTCGGTGGAGCGAGATGTCGGTGTATCACCCAAAGTTGTCGGGGTTATTATGCTTATTTTATTTTCTGAGCGCTCCCTGGTGTCCTGGGGTCACTTCTTTTTGAGTGCCAGTGGTGGAGAGAGAGGGGGCGCTTCTTGGACCAGAGATTGCTGTTCTGGGACACCTCCTTATAGGGTCTGCCTGGGTCACTGACATATGGTCTTGAAGAGAAAACCTGAGTTGGGCGTGTACTTCTGGGGCACACGTTTTTTTCAGCATACTTGAAGCTGTCCATCTTGCCGATGGGTCTTTTGGTTGTGGTCCAGTCTCAATCAGGAATGCTGTGTCCAAACACAGAAGTGTCAGCATCTCCAAGTTCCCTTCTTTGCAAATAAAATAGTGGTCCAGTCCCTCTACCTTTGGCTATGAGTCCTGGTATGAGTTAGTCAGAGATGGTGTTTGTCCCATAAATGCTGTCTGGCTTTTAAGGGGCCTGGTCCAGAGATAAGGAACAAGAGGCTGCCTTTGGCTCCTGCATAGGCAAGAGCCCCTTTATTGGTTACTATACCTCCACAGTTCATTGTGCACCCTTACTCCACAGTCAAGCTCTCTTTCCCATGTGTCCTCTCCCCTCCCAATTTCTCTGTCTTGAAGCTGACTCTAGCAAGAGCTTGTAACATCTAAATGTCTTGAAGATGAAACCCCCCTGAGAGCCCTGCCTAGACTGTGTGTGTGGGGGGGAGACGAGGGCCAGAGAAAGGGACATTCAGTGGGCAAGCTGGGATTGGAACAAACAAACCCTGGCTGACCTCAAAATCCTGAGCCACTTTTTGATGGCCCCGGCATCTCTGTAGAGCCCAGCTTGGGTTTCCGAAAGGTAACATTAGCTATGGGCTCATGTCTTGGCAGTGAACAGAGTTGGTAACCACAGAGGGGCTTGGATGACCGGGGAGACATTCAGAGAATGAGACCTCATCTCTCCTATTTGACTAGCCTTGGGCTTTGTTCTGTAAATCCCAGATGTCTGTGTAGCAAGGATGAACATGTTGACAGTAACCACTGGTACTCTACCTGAGAGTGAGTGAGCACTTTCAATATCCAATATGGTTTTTGTTTACTTTTTATTTGTGTGTGGGCGAGAATGAGTGTGTGTGTGCACAAGTGTGAAAGTTAGAGAACAGCTTTTAGCAGTATGTTCTCTCCTTTAAGCACGTGGGTGTCAGAGACTGATCTCAAGTTGTCAGGCTTGGCAGCAGGTACTTTTACCCACTGAGCCACCTTGATGGCTCATAAATATTCTATATGTCATCATATCTCTGTGAAGTGGAGAAATATGGTTCCTTTCTGAAGCAACTGGGGCTCAGAGAGGTGTGGACATTTGCCTCAAGTTGCACAGCTACCAGGGAGGATGCACTATTGAATCCCTTCTGTGGCTTAGGTCCAAGTGTGCCATGTTTGCAATGGTATGCAGAGGTCATTGAGTTCCAGGTTGCTACTATCTTAAAACTTCTTTTAAAGGAAGTACTTATCTTTTGACCAAGAATATTCATGTTTCAAGCTTTTATGAGACTCTTCCCTACTTGATTTTACAACTTGGCTCTATCCTCATTTGTTATAACTGATCCTGACCTTTTCCTCAGGTTTCCAGTAATTTGGGATGCTCAGTGTGGGGCAACAGACCTAAATAGTTGTTTTCAGTCTGGACCTGGAGTCTGGCCCTTTGATGAGGAGGACTCCCTAGGTCAGGTAGATATTTTATGTTGAGAGTAAAGGGTAGGCTGGGACAGGAAACAGATTGCCTTGACTATTGGCTGGGAGAGGGAGGATGTTTTGTGGGGTGATTTATCAACTTTGGGGTGTTCCTATGTCAATCCCTGGCCAATGCTTGACACTCAGGAAAAGGCATGTATGCGGTACCTGGCGCTGGCCAGGATCCATGCCTGAGTTCTTTCTTGTGAGCCCACATACCTTGTATAACAAGTCCCTGGTTGGCAGGTTGCCAGCCCAACCTGTCAAACCAGGCTGCCTGGGTATGGGCTAGGCAGGGCTGCAAGGCTGGCTGTTGGTACCACTGATGCCAGATAAGGCAGTTCCAAGCAGAAAGGGCGGAGTACTGTGGCACTCCCAGGGCAGACTGGGTTGACACTAGGGTCTGGTTCACAGAAGAAATGGCCCTGCCAGCCTTCCACAGCCTTCCTAGGGTGCTGGCTTTGAATTTGTTCCAACTTTTATTTTGATAAGAGAGCGTCTCTTGTAGCCTAGGCTGGCTTCAAACTGACTATGTAGCTGAGGATGATCTTGAACTTCTAGTCTTCCTGCCTCCACCTCCCAGGTGCTGGGATTGCAGGCGTGTTCCATCACCTCTGGTTTTCTTTGAAGCTGGAGCGCAAACCCAGGGCTTCACGCATACTAGGAAGCACCCCGCTAATTGAGGTACACCATCAGTCTCGTTTCCCTACTACTGCAAAAATACTAATGAGATGTAGGAATCAGTTTATGCCTGTTATCCTGGCGCTTTAGAGGCTGAGGTAGAAGGACCTTGAGTTCCAGGTCAGCCTGGGCTATTGAGCAAGTTTTGCCTAGCCTAGGCTATAAGAAACTATTTCTTTTCTTTTTTTTCTTTTCTTCTCCTTCTCTCTCCCCCCCCCTCCCTCTCTCTCAGAGATGGAGTATCTCTTTGTGTATGTAGCTTTGGCTGTCCTGGAACGTGCTCTGTAGACTTGTCTGCCTTTGCCTCCTGAGTATTGGGATTAAAGATGGACCACCACCATCTAGTAAGACACTATTTCAGTCCAAAACCAACAACTTCAAGAGATAAACTCAGTTGTTGTTATATTGCTACATCCCCCCTCTCCTCACCCCATCTCTCCCTCCCCAATACAGGGTTTCACTATGTAGTTTTGGCTACTCTGGAACTCACTTTGTAGATCAGGCTAGCCTTGAACTCACAGAGATCTACCTGTCTCTGCCTTCTGAGTGGCTGGGGTTAAAAGTGTGTACCACTACAGCCCCAAAATTTTTAAACTTTACTACATTTATTTAGTGTGTGTGTGTCTCTGTGTGTGTTTAAGAACCTTTACACACTGAGCCTGAGCCTTCTTGCTGGATCCTTATTGCCTTAAAAAACAAAACAAAACAAAACAAAACAAAACAAAACAAAGCAAAGCAAAGCAAAGCAAAGCAAAGCAAAGCAAAGCAAAACAAAACGAAACAGAGTCGTACTGTATAGCGTATGCTGGCCTTAAACTCTTGATCATCCTGCCTCAGCCTCCCAAATGCTGGGGTTGCAGCCTGCACCACCACACTTGGCTATTGAGTTGTTGTTATTCTTTTATATTTGTAACAACATGCGCAAGCATATGTGTGTGTGTGGTTGTACACATGAGTGCAGGTGCCTGTGGAGACCAGAAAGCAATGTCAGTTCCCCTGGGGCTGGAGTCCAAGGCACTTGTGAGACACCTAATGTGGGTGCTGGGAACTGAACTCTGGTCCTCTAGAAGAGCAGTGTGTGTTTTTAATCTGGGTTCCTGTTGTTGAACTGAGGGCATCAGGCTTGGGTGGCAAACACTTTTACCCACCGAACCATCTTTTGGGACACACATATGTGTTTTTTATTGAGGCTTAGCTACACACCATAAAATTGACTTTTTTGATGTTAATGACAGAATCCATGGCTTCACACACACTGTCATACCCTTGCACACACTGTCATACCCTTGCACACACTGTCATGCCCTGACATACATTGTCATGCATTTGCACACACTGTCATGCCCTGGTACACACTGTCATGTTCTTGCACACACTGTCATGCCCTGGTACACACTGTCATGTTCTTGCACACACTGTCATGCCCTGGTACACACTGTCATGTTCTTGCACACACTGTCATGCCCTGATACACACTGTCATGTTCTTGCACACACTGTCATGCCCTGGTACACACTGTCATGTTCTTGCACACACTGTCATACCCTGGAACACACTGTCATGTTCTTGCACACACTGTCATGCCCTGGTACACACTATCATGTTCTTGCACACACTGTCATGCCCTGGAACACACTGTCATGTTCTTGCACACACTGTCATGCCCTGGTACACACTGTCATGTTCTTGCACACACTTTCATGCCCTGGAACACACTGTCATGTTCTTGCACACACTGTCATGCCCTGGTATACATTGTTATGCCCTTGTACACACTGTCATGCCCTGGTACACACTGTCATGTTCTTGCACACACTGTCATGCCCTGGTACACACTGTCATGTTCTTGCATATACTCTGCTCACACTCTACCACTAAGCTGCATTCCTCCACTAAAACAGCTGTTACAGTGCACAGGTCACAGACATTTGATTCAAGTACCTTCAAAAATGGTGGGCACCCACTATCTCCTCGGGGTTCCAAAAGGAGACCTTATACCCATCAGCAGTCATTCTCCACTCTCTCTCCCCTGACTCTGACACTCAGTAATCTGCTTTCCATCTTTGTGGGTTTTTGACCAGAATCCTCTGGTCATTTCTCATCTCTAGGATCATAGATGGTGCATGAGGGCTTTGTGTCTGACTTCTTTCACTTATAGCCATGTTTTCAGGTCCATTCGTATTCTAACATATAACATCCACATTATCTTTCATGTCTGACTAGCATCCCATTGTGTAAATATGTCATATTTTATCCATCTTTTCATCTGTGGTGAGCACTTGGAATTTTCTTCTTTTTGACAGTTATGGATCATATTGGTATAAAGATTCTTTGAATAGTTGTTTTCCAGTTTTTTGGTTATATACCTAAAAATGGAATTACTTAGTCATGTGATAATGTAAGGTTTAACTTTATGAGAAACAACTAAGTTGTTTCCTGTGGTAGCTGCACTTCAAATGAATTGTTTTAAAGGCA